CAAAGCACCCCTCCCTTGTACAGCCAGCCCGCAGCTCTGCCTCGGGGTGCCGCGGCACAGGGCCCCCCCGCGGGGGGCGGGGGTCTGCCTAGAAGCCCTTAGGGAGATTTCATGAGGAAACAGGCCGAGGCATATCTGTTACCAAGGAGAGAGAAGAGCCGAGTTCACTGCTGGGAGCTCTGGCAGGCCCCTTTGCCGGGGCAGGTTGCTGCCCTGCTGGTCAGTGGGTGCCGTGAGGCTGTGAAGTGGTAGCAGGGTGGTACAGCCACACTGGGAAGGCGGGGAGATCTCTATTCCCCCCGCCCTGGGCTGGTCCCCACAGGACTGGCTTTGTTAATGGTGTCCCGACCATCTCCTGCTGCAGGCTTTTTGGGGATCACTGTCCGCCAGCATCACTCTCCTGCTTCCAGATGCCGCAGCGCATCCCTTACCATGAGGCCATTGGGCAGGAATTCAGACCGGCTGAAGTGGGAGACTCCTTCGGGCCCACGTGAGTACCAGGCTTCGATGGAGCTGGGAGCATGGTGGGGCTGGAGCTCACACCTTCAGTCTTACTCGTGCGCATGAACCCTCATGAGCTCTCAGTGGCGAAGAAGTGAGATTATAATCCTCTTCCCTGTTGCGAGCTTTCGGTAGAAGGTGTCTGCCTAGAAGCCCAGAGGAGATTTCGTGAGGAAACAGGCTGAGATGTGTCTGTTTCCAAGGAGAGTGAAGAGCCAAGTTCACTGCTGAGAGCTCGTGTTCATAGTCGTGGTTGTGACCCTGATGCTTGCTTCTGCGTGGGATCTGTGTGCTTTGTCAGGGCTGGGAGAAGATCGGAGTTTTTTGCCAGCAGTGGTCAAAGACACGATGCTACTGTCTGTTTCGGTTGCAGAGGAGGCTGGGTTGGGACCAGCACCAGGGGGTTTGTGTGCTGCCTTCTCAGCTTCCTCGCCCGCTGGCACTGCCGTGCCTCCTCGCAGCCTGCACGGAGGCTCTGAGGAACTGTGGCTTCCCTCGGGGGAAGGTCTCGCGGTGGGCTGAGTGTGCTGCCTGCTCTCTTCCAGGTGGGAGACGTGCTGGTTTAAGGTGGAGCTGAGCATCCCCCCGGGCTGGGCAGGGCGGGAAGTGCACTTCGTGTGGGAGAGCGACGGGGAGGGCATGGTGTGGCGAGATGCCCAGCCTGTCCAGGTGAGGAGACGTGGGTCAGGGGTGTGCTGGTTGTGCCAGCCGCTCCACTGCATACAGAGTGGTTATTTCCCTTAGTCCTCTGCAGTGGGGCAGCAGAAGAAACCCCCTCCTGTTATGTGCTCTCCAGAGGAATGCCTATTTGTGTTGGGGAGCGCAAAATAACACAGGGGCCAACAGGAAAGAACCAAGAATAATCAGAGGTCTAGAGAGAGTGGTCACAAAGAGAAACAGAAGCAGGATATGTAGTTGTAGAGTTGTTTAGCCTCAAGTGGTAATCCGCAACAGAGCTGTTTTTAAATAAAGGGAAGAAACTGCTGTCCAGAGAAGCGCGGTGTTTGTGAAGAGTCTGGTACGCGGGGTGGGAGAGAAGACTACTCTCGTAGTCTATTTCCAGAGTTTCACCCAGAGAGGCAAGCCTGCTGCTGGTGGTGGGTTTCAGTCTGTTTTCTAGAGCCAGCTTCCCGCCAGGAGTTAAAATTCTGGTCTGCAAACCATTAACGGCTGAAAATCCTTTGCTTAGGCGTTAGCAAATGCATCTTGGAAGAAGGCTAGGCAAGCACTGGGCCTGAGGTGTGAATCCCCACTGCTGCCAAGAACAGTGGGACAGATGAACAGTGGGACAGACTCTTGTCACACAGGTCAACTTTTGTCGTGCTCTGGGGAGGCGGAATGGCTCAGGTGACATTTTGCAGCCCTGCCCTGCTCTGCAGTGGTGTCCGGGGGCGTTGTGGCACTGTTGGGGCAGCAGCAGCAGTTTCCGTGCCTGTTGTTCTTGTGGGAAGCATTGTCCCAGGGCACGTGGGGCCAGGACCCTCCATCCAGCCGGGTGTGTCTTGTCCTGCCCATCCAGCTGCTGTCATGGGCCCCTGAAGATGTGTGTTAAATGTGCCACCTCCCCCTGCAGGGTTTGACTAAGGAAGGCGAGAAGACCAGCTACATCCTGACGAGCAGCTTGAAAGAAACAGAGCCCCACAGGTGGGTGGCCAGCGTGGCCGGGACCCCCACCGTTGGGCCACCTTGGTGTTGTTCAAAGCCAGGAGGCCAGGCTGAGACATCCTCACCTGCATCCAGGTGCTCTGAGAAGTATCTGGCGTTCGGCAGCTCTGTCTGTTGTTCAGGTGGGGCCGGTCCCACCGCAGGGAGGGGAGTGGACTTTCCCGGCTGATTGCCTGTGGTCTGCTCCCTGATGGTTGTGTTTTGCTCTCCAGTCTGACGCTGTATGTGGAGCTGGCCTGCAACGGTCTCTTCGGAGCTGGCAAGGGCAGTATGATCGCCCCTCCGGACCCTGACAGGAGGTTCACCCTGAGCAAGGCTGAGCTGGTCGTCTTCAACAGGGATGTCTATGAACTGCTGGTGGATCTGGAAATACTGCTGGACATGGCCCGGGTCTGTGAGCTCATTCTCTTCTCTTCTCTCGCCCTTTCCACCTCCTTCCACAACTTCATTTTATCGCCTTCTCCTGCCATTCCCTGACCTGTCTCCTTCCACCAGGAGGCCCTGGAGGAGCAAATGTTTGCTCCTGCTGCTTTAGCGCAATTGATCTTGTCTACAGTAGGAGAAAACTGAGCAGGGAGAAGCCAAAGGTGTTTTTTTCACCCACATTCCACTCGAAGGCAGGATCTGTTAGACCAGAGTGCCCTGGGATGGGCGTATGCATAACCTGGCTTTAGAAGGCTCATAAGTAAGGACGTACGGTTGTGTCTGCGAAGCAGGGGCACAGTGTTTACCTGGCACCGCTGGCAGTCAGATGTTGGGTGGAGGTAGCAGGTTGTCCCTGAGGCAGGTGGCATCTGAGCTGGTGCAGAGAGCTGCTTGGAGCCAGAGGGTGTGCTGAGCTCTGAGTCAAGCTGTTATTGCCCCCAATCCCAGCTCCTCGGGGAGGAAAACCAGAGGAGTTTCCAGGCACTGTACGCTGCCAACCAGATGGTCAACGCCTGTGACGTTATGGACCCCTCCACCTTCCCTGCTGCCCGTGACCTGGCTGCGGCGATCTTCAGCCAGAGGAACGGCGAGAGCCAGCACACCATCCATGCCGTGGGTCACTGCCACATTGACTCTGGTGAGAGCAGCACAGCGTTCCCTCCCTGCTGACCGGGAGGCCAGGGCATGCTGCCCAAGGGGAGAGCTGGCTGCCTTTGGGCTCCAGGCACTGGGTGCTGTGCCCTGAGGGAAGGGAAAGGGACCTTTGTGCTGGTCTGTCGCCGAGGCAGGGGAACGTGTGCCTAGCTAGCTGTGCCATTTGGAGCGCCAGTGGGGCTGGTGATGAGGGGTGAATTACAGACCGCTGTCTGCCAGCTGCTGGACTTCACCCCTCGATTTCCAGACCCCGGAGGGGTTTCGGTCTCAGCAGAGAGGCAGCAGGAGGAGTGGGAGTTGGAGGCCCCAGGCTGCGTTGCTGTCAGACACTAAGTCAAAGGACAGCGTTTTGCCCTAGCATTTTCCCTGGCTGATCCACGACAGGCAGCACAGCCCCGTTCCCAGGGGAGCTTGTGCCGAGTAGTAACCGCGGTGGGGCCATGCCTGTCCCTGCAGCCTGGCTGTGGCCGTTCGAAGAGACCATCCGTAAGTGTGCTCGGAGCTGGGTCACGGTGGTCCGTCTGATGGAGCGCAATCCGGAGCTCACCTTCGCCTGCTCCCAGGTGAGTGATCTCCCTCTGGGGACCTCTCCTTCTGCTTGTTGCTCCCCCAGCATGGCCCAAAATGAGACGGGGGGGGATGAGCGGGAGCGTCCCATGCAGTTGCAGAGAGGAGGGACGTCGGTGTGGTGGGAGCTGAGGCTGACCTCTGTGCTGTGGCAGGCGCAGCAGTTCGAGTGGGTGCGGAGTTGGTACCCCGGGCTCTACGCACAGATTCGGGACTTCGTGGTGAAGGGGCAGTTCATTCCTGTTGGAGGCACCTGGGTGGAAATGGTGAGAAGCACGGTGAGCCTGGCTCGCCACACCCTCCCAGCACAGAATCACACAATTCCAGCATGGTAGGGGTTGGAAGGGACCTCTGGGGATCACCCAGCCCAACCCCCCTGTGCCCGTTGCCCCTTGTCCTGTCGCTGGGCACCACTGGAAAGAGTCTGGCCCCATCCTCCTGACCCCCACCCTGCAGATATTTAGAGGCATTTCTAAGGTCCCCTCTCAGCCTTCTCTTCTCCAGGCTGAACAAGCCCAGCTCCCTCAGCCTCTCCTCGTAGGAGAGATGCTCCAGTCCCCTCATCATCCTTGTAGCCCTCCACTGGACTCTCTCCAGTAGCTCCTCATGTTTCTTGAACTGGGGAGCCCAGAACTGGACACAGTACTCCAGATGGGGCCTCACCAGGGCAGAGTAGAGGGGAAGGAGAACCTCCCTCGACCTGCTGCCCACACTCCTCTTGATGCACCCCAGGATTCCATTGGCTTTCTTGGCAGCCAGGGCACACTGCTGGCTCACGGTCAACCTGTCATCCCCCAGCACTCCCAAGTCCTTCTCCGCAGAGCTGCTCTCCAGCAGGTCCGCCCCAGCCTGTACTGGTGCCTGGGGTTGTTCTTCCCCAGGTGCAGGACCCTGCACTTGCCCATGTTGAACCTCATCAGGTTTCTCTCTGCCCAACTTTCCAGCTTGTCCTGTCACCATCCCTCTGGGACCAGTCCTGGCACTGGAAGGGGAGAGCAGAGCCTTTGCTGAGCCTGTCTGGTTGGGGATGGTCTCCAGGCCCAGCAAACAGCAGCTGTCTGCAGTGCCTAGTGTAGCAAAAATACTGTCCCTCTCCCAGATCATCTCATTCCCCGAGAAAGGAGCTTTGGTCTGGACTTGCTGAGCAATGTTCCTCCTTTTGCCCTCTGCCGAGCTCTGTTCTAATCGTCCCCGTGATCTGCTGGGTCAGGATGGCAGCGTGTGGGAACGGGGTGCTCACAAGACGTCCCCTGCCCTGGCGCCTGGCTCGCCACATGGAATCACTGTGCTCTCCCCCAGGACGGGAACCTGCCCAGCGGGGAGTCCATGGTGCGGCAGTTCCTCCAGGGACAGCGGTTCTTCCAGGAGCAGTTTGGCCGGATCTGCTCAGAGGTACTTGCTCTTTCCCAGCGCCCCTTCCTCACACACCACCTCTTGCTGTGCATGAGGGTTTCTCTCTGGTTCTGCAGATACGCTGTTCAGGTGCCTCGTGTTGGCCTGCTCTTGGCAGCTAAAGCCATGATGAGTAAATATCTACTTCCCCGTGTATCAGGGCAGTTAGCACAGCCCCAGGCCTTGGTTATATTGCTTTTGAGTCCATGGCAGGTCTCTAGAGTTGCTCCTCCTCTAGCACATCCTCTGTCCCCTCTGCAAGAAGGCCTGACTACCAAGAAACCCTCCACGAGCTTAGGCTGCGGTTTGTGGCCAGTGTGACTCACGTCTGCCTCTCTCCCTCCGCTGCTGTCGCACCTCCTCCCAGTTCTGGCTGCCGGACACGTTTGGATACTCGGCTCAGCTGCCCCAGCTAATGCGTGGCTGTGGGATCAGGCGGTTCCTCACGCAGAAGCTCAGCTGGAACCTGGTGAACACCTTCCCGGTGAGCTGTGCTTCCCTTCCTCCCTGGGGTTGCTGGAGTGTGTCTGCAGGGCTGGGCCTGTTTGTGCTACAGGTTGGGCCAGTCCTTCAGCTCAGCTGACACAGGCTCTTCTTCCAGAAGCCAGCAGTTTATGCTGGTAGCAATGTCCTGTCAGGGTTTAGGGGAAAGGAAGGACGCGGTTAGAGATCCCAGCTAGGCCCTCGGCCTACACATTCCCTCTGCTTCCAGATGGGAAACTGCGACCTGCATGCAGGTCTACCAGACAGCAAACCCAGCTGCTCCTCTGCTGTCACCTGCTCTTGTGGCACTCCTCATCCGACGATGTGACTGTCTCCTTGCACTGATCTGTCAGGGCATCCCACAACCCCACGGAGAGAAAGTGAAGGCCCGGTGTGAGTCCTCAGGGGGCTGTGAAGCGCCCATCACCTGTGCACTTCCTTGGTGACAAAGGTGCCGGGCTTTGTGTGTTGGCCAGGGCTTGCAAGGAAGCTCGGGCTTTTAGTGCACAAGCTTTGTGCTGATGTGGTTGAAGCGTGCCCTCCACGCACACGCGTGCGTGGGAGGTGAGTTTGGGAGCCTCGAAACACTGAGCTAAGGGTGAATTTCTCTTTCTGGTACTGCCATGACCAGAGAGTTCCTTTTGGGAACTCCTGGGAACAGTGGGGCTGTGCTGCAGAGCGTTCCAGCACTGCGTGGGACAGGGGGGCTGTATGAGACACCGCGCTTTCCTTTGGCTCCCCTCCAGCATCACACCTTTTTCTGGGAAGGCATTGATGGTTCCCGAGTCCTGACCCATTTCCCACCTGGCGATTCCTATGGGATGCACGGGCAAGTGGAGGAGGTGAGTGAGATTGCCAGACCTGCGCGTGAAGTGCAGTGCCAGCCCCTCAGGGCCAGGTCTGAGGCTCCTAGGAGAGGGCACTGCCTGCGAAGGGAGCAGGACAGCTGGCAGCATTGCTGGGCAAAGGCTGTTCGGGTGCCTGGCAGTCAGTTGCCTGCCTCTGAGATGTGTCCGTGCCTGATTTTTGCAGTTTGGGCAGAGGAGGAGAGGCAGGACTGGGCTTTGCACCCCAAAGGCTGACCTGGCTGTCTTGTGTGGAGCGGTGGGAGCTGGGGCTGGGCACCGGGGGATTGCAGCCACCCAAAATTCCTTCTAGATGCTGAAAACAGTGAAGAACAACAAGGACAAAGGACTTGTGAACCACAGCGCTCTCCTCTTTGGCTTTGGAGATGGAGGCGGGGGCCCGACGCAGAAGATGCTGGACAGGATGAAGAGAATGAGTGACACAGACGGGCTGCCAAGGTGAGAGGGGAGCTCCCTTCCTCCCTCCTTGCTGGAGCGCTTGTTCTGCGCCAGGCCTGGCCTTCAGCAGCGCCAAAGGAAAGGGGGTGTGAAGGAGGGCAGGGAGCAAGCGGGGCGAGCAGAGGGCTAGGAAGGGTTGTCAGGGAGCCAGAGCCTCTCCATCATTGAGGGCTGTAGGAAGAGGTACATGGGGTAGCCTCAGACTGCTTGTGAGCCCTCCACTGAGCTGTGGGGCGAATGGCCAGCACGGCAGTGGTGCCTGGCAGTCTGTCCCTGCCTGGGGAACGTCCCTGTCCCCAAGGCAGGCAGCAGGAGCGGCACGGAGTGGGAGAAGGCTAGGAGGAGGTTGGGGAGAATCCGGTGTGTGTGGCAGTGTCGGGGTTTCTGAGTCCTCAGTTCCAGGGCTGTCGCCTTGCTGGTCAGGGTTCACTGTCAGCCGTGTCACAGGCTGCTGCCCTGGCTGATCGCTGTTTGTGCATCTCTCCCGCAGGGTTCAGATCTCCACTCCTGACCAACTCTTTTCTGTGCTGGAGAAGGAGTCATCACAGCTGCACACCTGGGTGGGAGAGCTCTTCCTCGAGCTGCACAACGGCACCTATACCACCCAGGCACAGGTGACTGCGTCCATGGGACAGGGGCAGCAGTCTCCCCCACCCCAGGGAAGGTGGCTGTCCCCAGTGCTCTTCTCTACTGCTCAGGCTGCTCCAGGGTTCAGGCAGTGCCCTTTAGGTCACAGTGGTGGGAGCCACCTTGTAGCCAGGACTCCAGAAGGCAGATCTGTTGTCAGACCTCCTTCAAGGGGTGAGAAGCAAGGCTGGACACAGCAGGGCCCCTTTGGTCAATAGCTGTCACATCCATCACTTTAGCAGATAGCTGCAGAGGTTGGGTGAAGAGTCGGATGAAGGGGAGGCAGGTGAGAACAGAGACAGGGGAAGCTACGTCCTGTGCCGGGAGTTTCAGTTTTATCTGTGGCAAAACAGAACTCGCTGGTAGTGGCAACATCATGACGCCTACAAATAACCGACCTTCCTGCACTGGAGCTGGGCTTTTGCTGCAAGAGATCCGCTCCTGGCTACCAATTTCCTAAGCATCTTCTCTCCTTGCTTTGACACCAGATAAAGAAGGGGAATCGGGAGTGTGAGCGAATACTCCACGACATTGAAGTGCTCAGCACCTGGGCTCTGGCGCGGGGCGGCACATTCCAGTATCCTGCCAGCCAGCTGCAGCGGCTCTGGAGGTGAGGGCAACCGGGAGCACTGACGGCACCGGGGGCAGGACGTGGTGAGGGCTGGGGACTTCAGGGTGAGAGCTGGCTGCTCTTGGGACACCACTCCCCATCCCAACAGCTCCTTGTCCCTGCCTGAGTCAGGGTAGAAATCCTTGCTGTCAGTGCACCAAAACAAGCCTGGACCAGTTGGACCGCACTGGTGTGGACAGTTACTGGGCAGCTCGGTGGGCTGATGGTGGGAGATGGTCACTTGGTTCTCGGCCCTGTTCAGCTGGAGCCAGAAGGGTGACTGCCCGCAGCCTGTCCTTCACCTGAGCTGCCTCTCTTGAGTGGGAGAGCGGCGCATGGTTAGGATGTGGGGACCTGTGCGGATTCCGTACCGCAGCCCTGTGTGTACACAACCTCTTCCATAAACTGATCGGGGCTCCACCTGGCAAGTGCTTCAGTGCCTCGCTTCAGTCTCCTGTCGGAAGATAGCTCCAAAGCCTCGCTACTCTGCCGGCTGGAAGCTTCATTTCCGACCTAAGCTGATTACTCGCCAGTTTGGACTTGTCTGAATTTGTGCAACAATATATCTGGTAGCCCCAAGGGATGAAAACGTTAGCTCTTACTCCCCATGGTTGTGGTTTACTAAGACGACAGTTGACAAGTCCTAACATAAAGGGATTTAGAGGGTGCTACAAAAAAAAATCCTTTTCTCTCGAGCGTTTGCTAACAGCAGGACAAGGAACAGTTATTAAGTTTGTCCATCTTGCAGACAGGGCTTGGTAAGCCAGAATAAATCCAGTGCTCTCCCCTGCTTCGTCACCTGGTTTCTGCTCTGTGCTTTAGGTTATTGCTGCTCAACCAGTTCCATGACGTTTTGCCAGGCAGCTGCATCCAGCTCGTGGTTGAGGATGCCCTGCAATACTACACAGGTGAGCAGGGGGTTTGGCGAGAAGGCCCTGATCTGTTGGAGCACACCAGCTCCTGCCAAGTCGAGCTTCAGAGGTTTCAGTCCTGGACTGTCAGGTGCTATGGGTCGAACATGTGCAGGCATGTTCCTGTAATAGCGCTAACTCAGCAAGGAACTGGCAGAGGAGCTAAGGGATTAAAAAAAAAACCAAACCCATCCTGAGTTATTGACTTCTGTGCTTGCTTTTGGCATGCCGGGATAGACCCCAGCAAAGGTGGGCGCTGGAGTTCGCTCCTGCCTGCCCACAGGCACTCGCAGTAGCTTCACTTTGTTGTAGCTCCACAGTTTTCTGGGTGAGCTGGCATAGCTCTTTGTAATCTTGTAATAACAAAGTTAAGAATAAACTTTAATTACTTACTAATAGATCAGTGATTAATACTAACGATAACTAGTAATTGTAGCCTGGAAGTAGCTAAAGTGTGCATATGTGGCATGGGAGCACCAGAAACTCTCTCGGCTGTGAGAAATGTCCTGGCTGGGTCCCACCGGGCCTCTTATTTGCTCAGAGATCCGCAGGGCTGGCATTCAGCTGCAGGAGGAGGCTGTGCGGTCCTTATGTGGGGATCTGCTGCAGCCCAAGGCAGGGAGCGCCGAAAGCACCCTCGTGTTGAACACTCTGCCCTGGGAGCGGACTGAGGTCATCTCAAGGACTGGGCCATCCGGAACAGAGACTTTAGGTATGTCTAACTTTGGGGTAACTAGTGTATCAGAATTTCTTACAGGGGCGGAGACAGCTAGCAGAGAAATACTCTGCCTCTCCCTGCCCTGGGGAGGGTTTACTGACTTGTCAAATCGCTTCGTGGGACTTTATCCCACTTCAAGTTCTACCCTGAACTGTGGATGAAGAAGAGGAGGGTGTGACAGGAGGTGGCAGGTCTGACGTGAGAGCAGCAGGGCAGCACAGTGCGACATAGGGTTAGGTCTGGGGGAGATGTTGCAACAGAACCTCTTTGCTTTCCAGCTCTGGTGACAGTCCCCAGCATGGGCTATGCTGTCGTGAGGGAGCCGTCACTGCCACCTCAGCCTGTGGCAGTGAGGAAACAGGTAAGCGCAACGGCAGTTGTCCTCAGGTTGATGTACCCTGCGTCAGAGGTTGCCTGGGGAGAAATCTAGGGAATCCAGCCCACAGCAACTCCGCGCACTAGGTCTGCAATTGGGGCGCTCAGCTCCCGCGGGCGTGGGTCTGTGAAATCTGTTTCTGTCGGTTCCCCCAAGGAGGATGGCACCATTGCCATGGAGAACGGGGTGATTGCAGTCCGTCTCGATGTGGCGGGGCGCCTGACCTCGCTTCGCCTTGTACACTCTGAGAGGTATGCGTCTCCTCCGGTTCCTGCAGCCGGGCTCCTCAAACCCCTCTCAGGTCGTCTTCTTACTGAATGCCCTTTTCCACTGCCAGTTCTTCTTATGCTGCTGTTTCTCTGTTCCACTTTGTTCCAGAGAGTCAGTCCCAGACAGCTGCTACGCCAACCAGTTTGCACTCTTTGATGATGTTCCTCTGTACTGGGACGCCTGGGACGTGATGGATTATCACTTGGAAACCAGGTAGAA